TGTTTGTTCCCCTGGTGTTTTTCGTTCCCGTACACCGCGGTGTTTTCGTGCCCGGCTAGTGTTTTTCAGGCCCTGAATGTTGTTTTGTGGGGCCGCTGGTGTTTATTGTTCCCTGAAAGGCGTGTGTTGTTCCCAGCGCTCCGGGTTTGTATGAAGAAGTGAAAGGGTGTTTATTGTTCCCTAGAAAGTGTGTATTGTTTCCAAAGTCTAGCTTGCGGCCGGCTCTCGCAAAAAGAAAAGAAATAGGAAATAAAAAGAAAGGAAAGGGCACAAGGAGAAGAAAAGGTCTAAACTTCGCTCGTTTGATCTATCCTGTCTGAACTATGCAGAGCTCAGAGGTAAAGACGTTACATTTAGACCTTTTAAGCTTTCAACTTTTGTTTACATGGTCTAAAAAGTGGATGTGGCAAGGTCTTCACATTTGACATCTTTAGTGTGTGACGTTTCGTAGCACAGATAAGAGACACAGGCGGGAAGACATTACATCGCTGTGACTTTCCAAATACGGACACCAGATTTGAAAACAACCGGCTGCGAAGAAATTTCGCTGGAGATTCAATTGGAAACGTAGCGAGTATTAGAACTTGGCGCTATACCAGCACAATAAGATCAACAAGGGAAGGAAAAACACTTGGTAGGGAACGAAAAGCACTCCGGGAAGGAAAAACACTCATACAGGAAAGGAAAACACTCATACGGGAAGGAACAACACCAGTTCAGTAAGGGGAAACCCCCCGGGAAGGGGAAACACCATTCAGGGAAGGAAAAACACCCTACCCCAGAAAACAGGTCATGACAAAGCAATCGAAAAACGTTCCTGCCTTGCTATGTCTCTGCCCACAAGTCTTCACCGAGGTTCGCACAGCAACCCCGTCTCAAACTGTCAAGCGGTGATACAAACAGGCCTAATGACTAATTATGGCCTATATAAGTAAACCGACTCGGCGTGAGGTTTATAGAATTGCATCGTGCCTGGGAAGGTTGCAGATAGCTTCACAGAGTCAGCAGCAGTACATGCTCTTGGCCTCCTGGCATGTGACTAAGAACAGCGCTTGATTGAATAATATACGTACGCTATTGAACATGTTTCTTCTGCAATGAAAACATGGATGGGCCTCCCAGTTGATTGGTGTTTAGAGCCTGAATGAAAATTTGATCGTGAGACGTGTTCCATCATGGTCAACAAAACACTACGGTTTGCATGAATTCAAGGCATGCATAAACACACACAACAACTCTGTCAATGTCAACTCTGTGTATCTACTTTGACTCAAATGAGTCCAGCATAAGTGTCTACTCACCCGTTCCAATCTTGGACTGTGTGTGTGCGTGGGCGCACACCTGTTTCTTCGCTGGGATGGCTTGCCTCTCTTGGTTGTCTTCCCTTCAAACACCTTCCTTTGGAAGGATACACATATATATATATATATACTAGGCTGAAATGACAAAGGACTTGTGAAAACTACCTCCAAATTGCGGCGGCTAAGTCATGAAGGTTTAGCCTACCCCCCACAAGTATTTATGTCATGAAGCAAAAGCTTGGAAAAACCTCAAAATCAGAGATGCCAGAGGTTGTCACCAAAGATCCTAAAAACAGCTGATTGTATATTGACAAGCAACATGACATACGACTTTGGTATCTAAACGATGAATAAACCATCGAGAGATAGGAATTTGAGGGCAAAAACGCACAAAGGCAGACTTAAAGCAAAAGATGTTCCTATGACATGTGGACTTTCATTAGCTCTAGTCTTCCAGGAGCATGCCCCCCACCAACCCCCCC